ATAGTTGCGTAAGAAGTAACAAACAATTTGTCTAAACACTGAACTCTTGATTCAAATGGAAGAACATCTTTCTTGTCAGTGAAGGGCGCGTAAGGTCGCATTCCGTCTTCTCAATTGAGGTACGTGATGTAATTATTTTTAAGGGCGGAACAGGGATGTATGTATTACAACAAGGGCGGATGAGGCAGATGCGAAAAAAAGAAATATATAGAGAAGGTAAAATGAAATTAGGCCCTCGATCCTGCGCGAGAGAGAGAGAGAGAAAAAAATGAAAAAAAAAAACGAACACAGGAAGGGCGTTCTAGATTTATTTCGAAGCCTGATTAAAGCGTTGCAAACAAATTCTCAATTCGTCCGTGGGGTAAAAAAAAAATGTAATAACATTCAGACGGGGTGGTGTGAAATGTAACACAATACACACGGAAACCTGGCGTTGATTAAATTCTTTCTTTTTCACCGTCGACTTCCGCAATATTCTCCATTGCACTCCTTTTTTTCTTCTTCCTTCACCTCTCTCCTCGAAACCTTCTGTACCCCCTCCCCCCCCCAACCAACCGTTTTCTTTCGTTCTTTCCACATCCCAAAAACTTGTCTTTAATTACGCAACCGGTGATGGATGTTTTTGAAACGGGGCGAGGTTCTCAATTTCGTGACTCGTGTTTTAAAGAATCATCAGTGCGCAACCCCTCCACGTCCTAACGCTTTTCAATCTTACTTCATTAATATCAAGTGTTAAAATGAATCATTTATTTTGTTAATAATCAATAACGCATGCAACACTTACATCGTACTTGCAAAGTATCGCGTAATATGTAGCCAATTTCATGCATCTTAGCTTATATAATAATTTCAAAATATTAATGTTAATTGATTTGTATTTCATAATTAATAAAATCAATCGGCCATAATAAATAATTAATTAAGTAAAAAAAAACAATTATGATTTGATGTATATGTTACAGTAAATGTAATTATAAATCTGACAGCAGCAGCATATATCTACTTTTACCGGTAATATATACATTTACCAAGGCATATCGGTAAAAGTTAAAAATAATGAAAAAATAAATATGAGATATACTTAACATTAACGTTAAAATATGTGATTGAATGTATACTATTATTTTATTTAAATACTATTTTCTAAGAATGTTATTTTAAAAGAATATTAATAATATTTAAAAAAGTGCTGTAATGGCGCTTTGAATTGCACAAAAAACTTTAGCTACTTTGCCGGTAAATGTATACATTTACCGATTATGTACTTGTACCGTAACATAAACATTTCAATGAGAAATTATTAAAAAAGAGAGAAACTAAGCAATCTCTTATAAAATCATCTCCGTTAACTTTATCTGCGAAAAAGCTTGCATATAACGAAGTTCTCAATTTGAAGCCCCATTTTACAAAAAAAAAGTATCCCAATTGAAGATCAACCGATCAGCCGACAAAATATGGCCAGAAGTTGTACTAGTGGAAGAAAATCCAAGAATTTGAAGATTAAGATTTTTCAGTGGAAGATTTTGAAAAGAAAGACAAAGAAATGAAAGAAGTTCCTGCTAATAAATTAACAATCAAAGCATTAAAAAAGTGCTTAAATTACATTAAATACGTTTAAAAAAAAATAGTCAAAATACTGATTTAGGAAAAACTGTTATTATTAAGGGATTCGTTTTCATGTAATAACTTTTTATAGACCATAGTATATTCACCTCTGAAAACGAAGTTTCGATTAACGAAGTCATGATTAACGAAGTCATTTCCTAGACAGAATCCTATTCATTAATCGAGGTAGACTGTAGTGTTCAATTAAATAATAATATAGTAAAAAACACAAAATTCTGATTTAGGAAAAACTATTATTATTAAGGGATTCGTTTTCATGTAATAACTTTTATTTACCTTTGAAAACAAAGTCTCTATTAACGAAGTCATTTCCTAGACAGAATCCTATTCGGTAATCGAGGTATGACTGTAATGTTCAAATAAATAATAATAATAGTTGTGAAAAAACAAAATTCTGATTTAGGAAAAACTATTATTATTAAGGGATTCGTTTTCATGTAATAACTTTTATTTACCTCTGAAAACAAAGTCTCTATTAACGAAGTCATTTCCTAGACAGAATCCTATTCGGTAATCGAGGTATGACTGTAATGTTCAAATAAATAATAATAATAATAATAGTTGTAAAAAAACAAATTCTGATTTAAGAAAAACTGTTATTGTTATTCGTGTTCATGTAGTAACTCCGTATAGACCATAGTATATTTACCTCTTAAAACGAAGTGTCGCTTCAAGAAGTCATTTCCTGGCCAAAATCCTATTCATTAATCGAGTTATGACTGTAATGTTCAAATAAATAATAATAATAGTTGTAATAAAAACAAAATTCTGATTTAGGAAAAACTGTTATTATTAAGGGATTCGTTTTCATGTAATAACTTTTTATAGACCATAGTATATTTACCTCTGAAAACGAAGTTTCGATGAACGAATAGGATTCGATCTAGGAAATTACTTCGTTAAGTATATTTAAGGTATGCCTGTAGTGTGCAATTAAATAATAATAGTATTAAAAAAAAAAACACACACACACACCAAAGAATAGATAGAACATTTAATTTCAAATTAATATTTTGTTATTTCTGAAAGTGCGATTGGCCACCGAGTATGTATGTGTTTACAGCATTGCATAAAGTAAACTAATCGAATTTTAATTAAACAATTATCCGTGCGCAGTTAACACATTTTCACCTGATATTATTAGAAACCGATTTTCCAGTTTATCGTCGCATCATAAAGCGTCGCTTTTAATAATGTTTCGCGCGTAATGTTTCGAGCGAATGTTTTGCGGGGAAAAAAAAATTTAATTAAAGAATTCGTCGCGCTCGCTCGATGTGCGAACTAATGACCTGCTGTTTATATAATTCTCCGTAATTAACTCAACTTATAAGCATATGTAACGCAATTAAACACCCTCCTTATGCTCGGCGTTCTGATTTTTAACAGCTCTTAGTACAAAATTAACACCGAACCTGCTTCAGCTTGCCCATTAAAACGCTCATGCGAATGTGTTAACCAGTATTCCGTTAGCACAGATTCGAGTTACGAGAATTTACTGATACGCTTCTAATTTGCTGTTTTACAAATGATATTTCGGTCACATTTATGATCAATTTTTCTTTTCTTCTACAATTAATTATTTTCGAAAAAAAATCGTATATATCTTCATTCAATTAACATTATAATTATAAAAACAAAGTATGTTATTAAACTTAAGTTACAGAATCCAAGTGTTTTCTACTATATTATATATATATATATTCTACTTTACTATTATATAGATTTTAGGGTGCAATTACAAGACTCTCACTATTTTCACATATTATATATAACAAAATATGATCATAAAATCACGATATCTAACTAATTATATCAAATCTGAAGAAGCTAAGAACTAACAAGATAATGTTTGCGATTTGAGCTTCTGTTAAATGCTATATGCAGCGCCATCTATTTAAGAATACCAGAAGTTCAACAAGTATTCATCAAAATTCCACCTGTAGATACCATTAATGCTATAGACAGGACCGGCATCAGCGAATAAGCAAAATGGACATCTGTTCAGGGCGACAAAATTTCAGAAATGTATACAAAATCGTATGCAGTTCTGGCTTTAGCTAAACATTTAAATGTCTCTATAATAATACAAATATAATAATTGTAACCAATACAAAATAAAAACTTAATATATTAATAAAACAAAGATTGCTGCAAAGAGCTATTGACCAAAGGTCTTTCTTTTCTATAAATAAGAAATTACTTGTTATTATAGAAATGATTTGTATTTTATATTTATATAAATGTAAACTATAAGTAATTTTTCACCAGCAGTGGACAACTGTGGCTCAACTAATAACTAAAATATTATATACATTATACACTATGGTTCCGGTTTTTGTTTAAATTTTTATACTAAAATCTTGAGGTGCGGCCTCAATATATTCAACGGTATACGTACGCTTTGGAATAAGTCCAACTTAATATATGATTATGTTTGCTAAATCATAGGACTATGACCTATAAGAACAAATATGAATAGACAGATCTCACGGAGAACAGTAACCTGAAGAGGAGCATCTTCTCAAAACTGTGATTACTCCTCAAAATCCCACCCCGTCCGTATTAATAAGAATTAACTTTGTAAGTAGAATAAGTATTTAGAAGTAGTCTCAGTAAAACGTTAATATGATGAGCATAGTCTTATAAGAATCTTAATATGATGAGCATAGTCTCAGATGAATCTTAAATTATTAGTGGTACATTTGTTTCTGTTTGTATTGTTCATCAATAATTTAAATTATAAAATATTTTTGTTATTATGCTTTGGGTTTAACGCATTTTGCACCCAATTATTGCTTAAAGGTACTATAACGTTATAATTCTTCTTCTGTTTCTTCCTCTCTAGAAAAAGTGAAAGTATATAACTTAACACGTAACCAGTCTATGACTAATTAAATATGATACGTGTTTAGGTGATTTCATATACATATAAGCTTAATTTTTAGTAACAGTGCCATCTATAAGCGAGTTAATATTGCAATAACTATTACAAAATAAATTTAAGTTTAATATTTATAATAAATATATTTAAACTATTCGTAAAAAATACTTTGTAATTAAATTAAATTAATTTCATGTTATATAATTTAAAAAAAGTACAAAAATTTATTTGTAAAATATTATTGTAATAAAATTCAATTTTACTAAATCCGTAATATCGCAGTTTCATATTGGAATTGTTAATAACTTGAATGTATTAGTTATTAACAGTTAAAATCATGTGATGGATTGAATATGTTTAACTAAATGTTTGCAAGAATGAAATACTATTATTAAATGTTAATTTTGTTAATTATTAATACTTCTTTAAAACGAATTAATAAGTAATGTATTATTGTTTTCCAATTAGTAATCCATGTTATGATTCAGTTGATGTTATAGGAGCCGAATCTAATAACCTTGAAAAATCGCAGTTCTGCGATAATGGTTGATGCAAGTTAACGAGACAATTATGTATCCAAATCTATAGTATTTCGGGGATAAACATGCGAACGTTCTACGAAAATTTGGCCGAAATGATATAGCCCTCAGCAGAAGGATAATTTCGCAATAAGGGTCCGTGAAGGTTAGTTTCAGTGTTTGTTTTTGTTATTGAATATCTACAATAGACTTTGAATTCTATTTGGTGTGATAATGTTTTTTAGATGGAGCACCTAATGAAGAAAATGGGAAAGAAGAAAATGCTAGGTGTTTTCATCTGCATTTTCATTGTGATAGTGGTATACAGCAATTCACCAACCCAAAGATTCCTGGAACCTGGCAATGATTTAGGTAATGAGCGAACGTACAACAATGAAATTATTTCAAACAAAATGTTTGTTTTCATTGAAGGCACTGTCGAGGGCTGGGAGTTTAACACCTCGAGAGATGCAAGCCTATATGTACTAAGTGACAACTCGACTATACTCAAACCCAAGGACTTCTGTGAGTCACCAACATTCCTGCTCATCATAGTTTGCACCGCTCCACCCAATGAACAAAATAGGAATGCCATCAGACAGAGTTGGGGCTCTCAAAGGAATGTTTCTGGAAGTTTAATCAAAGTGTTTTTCCTTATGGGGGATTCAAACAATGCTTCCATACAGGTAAGTGTTCTCTATAAGATTAAATACTTAATGTGTCTCGATTATGTTTTTGCAGCAAGATATTTTGGATGAGAATGTTAGGCACAAAGACATAATCCAGGATCACTTTTTCGATTCTTATAACAATCTTACTTTAAAATCCATTGTAATGCTCAAATTAGTATCGACGTATTGCATACATAGCACAACTTTCTTGATGAAGACTGATGATGATATGTACCTAAATATACCCCCATTGGTACATACTTTGAAAGCAGGGAACAGCACAAACATCCTACTAGGCAGTCTTATATGTGGTGCAAAACCTATAAAAGAAATTGGAAATAAATGGTAAGCTTGAAATATATGTAAGATTAGGTTTTAACTAATTGCCATCTAGGTACACTCCAAGTTATATGTACAGTGGGAAGGTGTATCCAAATTACTTATCAGGGACAGGTTATGTTATGTCCCTCGATGTAGCTAGCAAGTTGTACGAGGCAGCTCTGCAAACCCCCATATTCCACTTAGAGGATGTATACATTACAGGTAACTTAAGGTTAAGGAAAATTTCCAATTATTACAGCATATGAATGTCTCAGGTATTCTATCGAAATCCGTAAAGCTGAGACCTAGAAACAATGGGGGCTTCACGTTTGTAAAGCGTAAGTACGATCCTTGCGTCTTTAAAACCGCGTTCACTTCGCACCGACTTTCGCCCATGGAAATTCGTGATCAGTATTCTCAGCTCCAAGTGATTAATCTCGAGGAGGAATGTCGTCTTCTGCAGTTAAGCAAGAACAATTCCTTCAACATCTTTGGTTACTTCAGTAACTCTAAAGCGAAACCAAAGAAAAAGAAAATATGCTACTAAGTGATTGGAGTAAGGTAAAACTCGTCGCTACATTTAGTAGATAATTGTTATCGAATGGAATTGAGATATTTAGCTATTTGTGATTTATTTATATTATACTTACTTATTTTTTTTTAGTTATTTCACTCTATTAACGTGCTCAACGTCCAAAACTGACATTACTACAATTTGTTTATTTTTATTCAAATGTTTTCAACATCCAGAAAACAACTGATTACTCAGACGCAATTTTTATTTCCTAGCCAAGCTTATATAAACAGGGTACACACTTTTTTTTCGCACATTACATACATTTATCATAAAGTCGATATATTTTACACGCAGAAGAACGAAAGTTTTATATTCGTATGTAGGTTTTGATGTGATACAACTTATTAAACGAAGAACAAATGATCTTATTTTAAAATGTAAAAATATCAGCATTCATGCAGGTATCTCGAGATAATTTCTAATTTACTCCTTCACTGAAACAACAACAACATTCTCTTATAAATCGCTTTCATTTGATAGTGACTACTCCATTACATAAAACACAACGTTTTACTTTGAAAAGAATATGTTTTATAACGAAAACTGATATGATATTACACTAATTATAAAACAACTACAAAATGCTCAGCATTATTATCCAATGTTATTTAAAAACAATATATTTTTGTTTGTAATTTTACTATACTTTATTTAATCTATTGAGTTGTTAAAGTACTAAAAAAAATAACAATCTCGATTAATTTAGTTTCAAATGTGATATTTTCTTAAAGTTAGGCACATTCCACATCAAAGATGAACATGGTTTTAGCTATTTAGTTAAGTTATATGGAAGGGTTTTGTTATACATAAAGGGCGCAATATAAGCATGGGTAGTAGTTATTTTCATTTGTATTTCGGAAAGTTAATAATATATAAAAATTATTTATAAATTAAATAATACCGCAAAAATAAAATGTGTGTGTATTAATATAATATTTATGATTAAAATAAAACATTAAAAGAACAATTTTGTATATAATAAAAGCGTTTAAATAATAATGGACTAAATGAAGAATAAAATGCGATTGCTTTTTCACATAATAGTGTCAAATATTGTGCCAAGTTCATCACTCGCCATCGAAATCTATGTTTTAATTAAGACTTTAATCATGAATGTCTTAATTAACTTTATATGTGAAATGCGAGTGATTGTTATAGCATATATGAAAAAAGTAAAATAAACACCAAAAAAAGAAAAGTAATTGTTGCTTTGTAGAGAAAATATTGACATGGATGTGTGTGTTATGTAAACAAAAGCAAATTAAAAATTAAAGTGATCGCTGATAAAGAGATATTATATAAAAAAAAAACAAAGTATTATATATATATATATGCAGTGCCTACCGTTATAATATTTGTATTTATTTGTCCTCATTGCAGTTAATAATGTGAACATTATGTGCTTCGACGTTGTTTATTTTTGTACTTCCACTACGTTCGTAATTGTCCACTCCTCGTATGTCGAGTGGATCTAATGGGTAATAAAGTGAACCGATTTGTACAATTTTAATTCCTGCCTATTGTATTTTCGTTTTCGATATGTGTATACAATATGATACAATGTTTCTCATTCGATGGAATCAAGTCTTAGCAATTAAGTGTTTTTGTAAATACATAGAGCTCTTGATGTTACAATTATTAAATGTATAAACAAAACAAAAAATAATGAAAGAAAGAAAGATAAAGGATATTCTCGGATTATGTGTAAAGCAATGGTGATGAAATGATACAAATGAATATTAATCGAGATTATTTTGCTATTTGTAAATACTACTCAACAATGAAAACAAACAAATACATTTTTGTAGAGTATATCTGTTGTGTAATTGATTTCAATCCCATTCCTATTTGATTTCCCTTTATATAGGATTCGTTTTGAGACGATTAAGACGATTTCCAAATTTAGGAGATAATTCTATACGATTAATGAACACCTTGCATAACGAGGAAAACAAATTGTAATAACTTAACGAGTGACGAGGAGAAGAGATGTGTTGGATTGTGCGCCTCCTACATCATTATCCAAACTTGTGTTCAGATATATTACGTGTGTTTTTGTGCATAGTTTAAAAATACTATAATACTATACAATAAACTAATTATTTACATTTTTTGTTTTCTTCAATTTGCATTCAAGGTTGGTTCATTTCGCGATAGAAGAAAATATGAAGTTGATACACGCTTTATATAGGAAACATTGTTTTACTTAAAGACTGTTTCCCGTTGCAAGTAAGAATCTTCAATCGATTATGATCGTTAAACGAAGTTCCACTGTTTACAAAAATAACCCAACCATTTAGTTCGACGAAATCCTACAGATTGGTTGAATGCAATAATTTAAACACTTCTTAATACTAAAATTCAAAAATATAAAATCAATTAGAAATGAAAATTTAACAAACTTAAAATTTCTCTTTTCTGTATTTATCAGCAGTCCGATGTTTTTGACAAGCTCTTCGCTTGTACGTGTGTCCACAATCACTTTCTTCCCTTTCTCTGATCGTCATTTTCCTTAATAAAGAGCATCCCTGTTATGTACCTTCTGACGATGTTCTACTTCTCTTGACTTGACGAACGTCTCAAATTCCAGCACTTCTTCAAAATCTCTTTAAGCCTCGTGTTTCATCTTCGACCATCTGCAACATTCAAAGACTATCATCTTCCTCGTAATACCAGCACTTTTCATACTCCTTCCTCGCTATGTAGTGTAGTCCCTAGTTGGACCTGGTTTGAGATTTAATAAAACGAATTTTGCATCTGCCTTCTCTTCAAGATGTTTACAAAAATGTTACTAGTCAAATACCAAAGGTTGTATACAAATCTTTTTGCGTCCAAACAGGACGTATATCAAGTTGGACTTATTCCAAACCGCACGTATACAGAGGAAGCCCGTATATAATTACTATGATTCACGAAATTACGGTGTTAAACGAAACTTTGTTTTCAGAGGTAAAAATCCTAAAAGTCCAGAATCCTTCGTTAAGAATATGAAAAGCTTTTTGAGAATAAACAGTCAACTTGAAATCTCATTTTAAAATATTAGTATAAAGTTGATTGATTTTACTTTTCTTCTATTTCATTTTTCAAACTTATTGCATTTAACACAATTTAACAATTGCGTAATAATAACAATAGTTTTGAACACCTTTGTAAATCTGTTGTTTATATTTGGGAGAAACTTCTTTGATTTGTTTTTAGTTTCTTTGTCTTCGTTGCTAAAAGGTTTTCTAAATCTTCGAACATGTTATGCATATTGATTCATTTCTAATTTCTTTGATGTTATTTTCTTCTTCTAATACAATTTCCGGCCATATTTTACGCCAAAATCCATTTAAGCTCTTTCAAAGAGCATTCATGCCTTCATTTACATTTTTAATGTGTATTTTTTAAAATCTATCATTTCCTTTTTATCCTTCGGTTCAAAGAAATTGCTTAATGTTCGACGTAGATAATCCAATAGTTAAACAGGGAAGTTCTGTTTACTGGAATAAGAAAAAATGTTCTAGACAATAGCTCTTTCTTAATAATTGTTTGTTGACAATAACAGGGCAAATGCTGTTAATAAACGAATCAGTAAATACTTTCTTGGTACCCTATGCTTTTCTATTTGTTTGCCATATGGTTTTTATGTTAAAAAAGGTTTTAAAATGCGGTCTTTGTTATATAAAAGCTTCATTATCAAAGGCAACGTCAACTTAGGTATGATTGTGTATAGAAAAAGCAAGAATAATTGTTATGCTGTAATTGGTATACAGAAATACCGAAAATGATTATTCTGCAATGTTATGTTAGAAAAAAAACATCATAAGTTGCCTATATATTAATATTTTAATTGATTCCTTTGAGTTAATTAGTACCATTTTATGTATACTTTATGATTTTATATAATATAGTTTTCATAATAAATATATTTTATTTGTCTGTAACATTTTATTAAATATCAATGTATTTTTTTAAATTGTTCGTCAATAGTGTTGCCTATATAACATCCAAAAATGTATTTAGTGTTGACTACGTGACCGATTTAAAATAACGGATTATCTACAAAATAACTCAAGGGAATTCAGTGAAGATTTTCACGTGGTGGAGTTACCCACGTGCGATGGACTTTGCAAGGAAACAATTGGAGAAATATGGCTGGGAGGAAGGTAAGTGAATTACCGTTTGAACCTGTTCATTGGAGTTTTCCATGTATCTCTACCAAATGTTTCAGTCCACAATCTTAGGTTATGTGTACTAATTGTATTTTACATATTTTAGGTAAAGGTTTAGGTAAAGATGAGACTGGCATGACAACAGCAATCAAGCCAAAACTCAAGTATGACAACACTGGCCTAGGTCATGACATTGCAAAGGATTTCACAAATAACTGGTGGGACAATGTTTACAATAATGCCAGCAAGAATATTGAGGTAATAAATTATTTAATGCCGAAACATTATTTGTCTTTCTGTGACATATTTATTATGGATTTTTTTTGTTATGGATCAGATTATATTTGAACATTATTTTGCAATAACAATAATATGTTGAATCATTGCTACCAATTAAACAAATAGAATCACCAAGTGTTACATAGGTTCAGTGTCTGGTACCTTTAATTTACGGTTTTTCTGTTTTTTTGTAGATTAAAAAAGATGAAGGCAATGAGGTTAAGATGAATTTAAAGAATGGAGAGTCTGTTGAGATCTCAACTAAAACCTATTCAGTCAGAGACTTTAAAAAGAATAATGATAAATTGGCATATGGCACATTCCTGAGGACCTCTCAACTGACAACTAAAGGAGTGGTTGATTTTGAAAATGTACCAGAGGCTCCGATACCTCAGAAAGTTGTTAACCTTACAGACGATGAATTGTTTGCTGCATGTGGAGGAAGGACAGCACATAAGTAAGCTTTAATATATTTAATGTTATTCATAGTTAGGTTCTATTAACTCACAGCATACATGTTTTTTTTGGAATGTTAATTTTAATAATTTTATTACTAATAAATTAATTGTAATTTTGGTTTCCAGAGGTGCAAGACATGGTATAAAACAATCTGGAAAGTTGTCTAGAATAGATAAACAGGAGAAATTACTATTGAAAAGACTGCAACGTGTTTCGATCTCCGAGGATGAGGATGCTAAGACCGAGAAGAAATTGAAGAAGCTTGCCAAAAATAAAGATAAGATTGCTGGACAGGAGGAAGCTGTAGATGCTTCTAATAAGAAGAAGAAACGCAAGAAGAAGAGAAAGTCGGTGTCGTTCAGCGAAACGGTTACAGAATATCATACACAAGAGCAAGATACGAGTTCGCAAAGTAACGAGAGCCTCGAACCTCCAGTTATTTTGCAGACGAAAATCAAAGATCAGACGGAGGAGCCAAATAACCAGGATGAGGGCATCGAGCAGGATTGTGATATGAAGACTGGTGACTTCAGCAATCAGCAGTGCTTTGAGGTCGTACAGAAATCCAAGAAGGAAAAGAAAAAGAAGCGAGCCACTGAACGCTTCCTCGAAGCGATTGCCGGTCAAGAAGTTATGGAAAAGTGCAAGAGAAAGCATGACGAGGACTGCGAGGATCTGATAACAAAGAAACGATGCGAGGAGATCTCTTCGAAATCACTTCGTAAGAAAAAGAAAAAGAAGAAGTTGGCTGAAAAGGCGGCTATCATCAATTCCATTGCTGACTCGCTGGATCAAGTCTGTAAAATATCAGACACCGAGTAAGTTACTGCATTGTATTTAAGAAATCTTGTCTCTATGTGGTATTTTTCTTTTATATA